CTTTGAACCCATTATTCCCAATGATGTCAGTGCCCAAATTCAGGCCTTGCCCCTCTACAAGTCTTATGGCATGTTCTCTTGTCCTGTTAAAATCCTAAAAGGCTGCAAACACATTATTAGCCAGCCACTTGCTAACATTTACAATTTATCTGTCATCCAAGGTAAACATCCCAGCAAACTAAAACTTGCCAAGATTGTGCCAGTTTATAAAGATGATGATGAGTCCTGCGCAAGCAATTACAGGCCTATTTCTCTTTTGTCTATATTCAATAGAATATTTGAAAAACTAATGTATCAAAGACTCAGTAAATTTATCATTAAGCACAATATATTGATTAACTCCCAATATGGCTTTAGGAGTGGTCATAATACTCAACATGCAATTCTGGATATTGTTAATACAATTCAGAGTAATATGAATAGTGGTAAATTCACCTGTGGACTCTTTATAGATCTGAAAAAAGCCTTTGATACTGTTGATCACTATATTCTTCTTCAAAAACTTGACTTTTATGGCATCAGAGGTATTGTTAATCATTGGTTCCGATCTTACCTAATCTATAGGAAACAAACCACTTCAAATGGCTCTTATATTTCCAACAGTGAAACAACTTTGTATGGTGTTCCACAGGGCTCTGTGCTGGGCCCACTTTTATTCTTATTGTATGTGAATGACATTGCAAATTCTTCAAAGCATCTTTCGTTTTATTTATTTGCTGATGATACAAGCATTATTTATGCAAACAAGAACCTCCATAATCTTGAACAGATAGTTAATTCTGAACTAAGTAATGTCAGTGACTGGCTTTTAGCCAATAAGCTAACCCTTAATTTTAAAAAATCTAATTACGTGCTTTTCCGTCCTCGGCACAAATGATTAATATATAATCCCTCCATCAAAGCTTATGATCCAGCTATAAATGCATTGAGTACCTTAGAAAAGAAAGATTTTGTCAAATACCTTGGTGTTCTGATTGATTATGAACTTTCCTGGAAAAACCATATTAATCTAATCTGTTTAAAGATAAGTAGAACCGTGGGAATTCTAGCAAAGCTTAGACATAGTATTCCATTACGTCCCCTCTTAAATATCTATCAAGCCCTTATCAACCCCTATCTTTATTATGGCATCTGTGCATGGGGCTCTGCACCTAAAACTTATTTAAATAAGTTGCTCTTAATTCAAAAGCGAGCCCTACGCCTGATTTACTTTACGGATTATAAGCAACATGCTGTACCATTTTTCTTAAAATCAAAAGTCTTTGATTTACTTTGATTGTCTTTGTAGTATCATGTGGGACGTTGCTAACAATTCTGCACCTGAAAATATCAAGAGAGCCTTCACTAGGATTTCTGAGGTGCACTCATATCCTACCCGATCTTCTCTCAATGATGATTTCTATACCGAACACTCAAGGCTTGAAAAAATGCGCAGTTCTTTTCTAAGAGTTGGACCAAAAATTTGGAATTCTTTACCCTCAGATATGAGAAACTTACCAAAATCTACCTTTCGGAAAGAGATAAGGAATAAGTTCTTTGAAATTTTATCTAAATCTGATGACTATCTTGAAATCACTGAAATCATGCATCAACTTAAATTTAACTAGCTCAGGAACACAACGAAATTTATATTCTCTGTGTAAATCATAATGCAATTAAATTAACTTAATACATACTATAGTTTTTATTTTGCGACAGCTGGTACTGTTTGTAAAATAGTTCTTTTTTTCTTTTCTTTCTTTAAATTTGTGTGTCTCTTCCCCCGCCTCGATTAGGCTCTCCTATACGCGGGTGGAAGCTATCGTGTAATTGTAAATTGAAAGTGAATGAATAAAGTTGAAGTTGACCAATTGAGGTGAATACTTACAACAGGTATACGTCTGCTTTCCGTGTTGTTCCGACGCCGATCGGCGAAGCTGAAGTGTCCTCTCCACAGCCTTTCTCCAGTTTGTTAAGTCTGGGTAAGTATCTATGGATGATGAGCTGTTACCCAATCGGCAGATTCCTCCTCTCCACGAAGCTGAAATTATCCAATGGAAACCTTGTGGCAGAAAAGGTTTCATCGTTAGCACGTCTAACATACGTGGATTTCTGCTATACCAATAGTAGAGCACTTCAGGAGCCACACAGAAAACAGGACGCATGACTAAGAAAAAGACAATCATTATGTAACCTAAATGTAATCATTTATAAAATAAATAAGTCAAGTGAATGTTTCAAGTTAACAGGCGAATCAAGTACGTGGCATACATTTAAGCTCCGTTTTATGGAGAAGAACTGTTTATATGAAAATATGGTTGACCCTTTTGTCCACATCAGGAACTAAGAACAGCAGTCGCGCATGCTCTGAATGTCTCGCCTTTACCTAGCTGACCCCGCAACCCAAAGTAAACTGAGAAAAGTTGACCAGGATAGGACAATGACCCTTACATTGAAAAAGGGTGACTCAGGCAACCGGGTTACAATCTAGCCCGGTCAACTTTGATGGTAACGGTTTGCCAAGCTTTGTAAGAAAAGTTAGGAACGTGACCCTTCTACCTGAGAAAAGGTTTCTCTATACAAACAGGGCCTTAGAATCACGTCATCACATTTACAAACTAGTAAGCGAAGCCTTTCTTGCTGACAGGAAAGGTACGTTTAGGAAAAGAGGTAAAAGCGTTTTAGAAACTTCAGTTTTCCAATGGAACTCAGAAGTAAATTATCCAAAAGCCTACATCTATGTTTTAAAAATTATGTACGGATTTTATTAATAAAAAGGGTTCTGTTCACAAAGGTTGAGAGATGTACAGTGTCAGAAGTTTTTCTCCAGACATTTTCATAAACAAAAGGAAAAAATACCGACAAATCTGCCGGAAAATTAAAAACGTGTCAGGGAAAATTTGAAACCTAAAAATTACCGAATTTTTCAACTCGTGCACTCTTTAAGTGTTTACGGTTTTGAAAAAGTCCAAGAGCGACAGGACATTAAGGCCAAAATACTAAGTAAAACGCTGCCACTAAACGGGAAAGTCTGTGTGCATTCAAATTGAAGACACGTCTTGGAATTTCGTTCGTCTCTGTTTTCAAGAAGCACCTATAAGCATTAGAGACCTTGCTCAAAAATGACGACGCGGATGAAATGTAACGTGTACCTTATAACAAAACTCTTGCTCTAATAACCTCGTTGAAATATTTTTTCATCATTATTTTATTTTTTTGCCAGGCAAGTTCAAGAAAGAAGAGAAAATAACTGACGACATAAAAGCTTGAATTTCATAAAAGAACTTCTGCGAAATGTACCAAAATGTGAATCGCACGTGCAGACGTGCAAAGACGTGTATTTCGGTTGTGTAAAAAAAAACTTTGCTTTTAAGCTTTTCTGACCAAAGTCGCAGAGTCATAACTCTGCAATGTCTGCAACGAGTAACTGACATTAACTAACCCGTTTTAGTTTCAGAGGGTAGTAGGTATTCTTCCCTCTTCAATAGGAAGGCAAGATCAAGCACGTACCCGAGTATATTCAACTTTCAAAGTACTCACGAAAATCTATATTTATCCCAATTAAAAATCCTTGAACAACTTCCTGAAATGTGTGAAACTGACTCTGTATTTGTATTTCAAGAAAAATCCGCCCATACAAGTAAAAAACAAGTTTTCATTCATTGTTTTTCCCAGCCGCTTTTATGACCGCGATCACTGTATACACTTCGAGAACAACAAGTTTTCTTTAAATTCAGCCACAATCAAGATGAATCTCTTAGAATCGCGCAGTAATTATACATCTTACGACTCCGAGATTAACTATTCTCATTGCCAAGGTCTGACAATAGGTAGAATAAGCTTAGTCCAAATGCATAAGTTTGTAACTGAAGAAGAGAAGTTGTAAACAATAAAGCTAAGTATCCTTTTAATTGAAAACAGTTTAAACGGCTATCACGAAATATTTGCTTTATTTATACATATTGGTGGTCAATATAAACCAAGTCATGTGTAATTAATAACATTACGGCATCAACAACCACACTTTATTCATGTTGTGGTGCCAAACCGAAGCAATGATATCTTAAACTTAGCAATTACAAGTGCCCTTAAAGACATATTGCATCCATGGCCCTATCACTACTCCAAATGAAGCCGGGGGCCGCAAAATGTTTTAAGCGACATGGAATATCATATCTACAAACAATTGCTTATAACACACACTTAAGGAAAGTGATTTGCTATGACCAGTATAGACTATACCCGTGACTAACGACCAACGTTCCTGTTGAGGAACTTCTACTACAGTCCGAATGCAATTCGCCCAATATTTGGCCTCAAGGATGAGATGGGCTACAAAACCAAAAGGGAGTACAAGAAAATCTTATTTCAAAAAGGAACAAAATCTTTATAAGTCTTGAAATTAATTTTCTTCTTTAAACGATCGCAGAATTGCGTCTCTTAGCCTATTACAGATTTTATTTTGCTTACATGAGTCATTTTTTTTCCCAAAAAAAATTGCATGCCGTGCTTTTTGATAGCATTTCAAGAATATATATGATTGAAAGAACGTTAACGGGGCAAACATTCTCACGGAAATAAACTAGATAATTTACCCTTTAAAAAAAATGATGCAAGATGAAGTTTACATCTTCCTCTACAATCAACATATAAGAGATACCAGGGTTTCAGACATTACACATATCTAACACTCACAGCAAAGAAGTTGAATTACAAAGGCCTACGTGAAAGGTAAGAACAAATTTATTTCATACCATACCTCTGCTAAGTTGCAACTAAACAACTGCAAAATTGTGAATTTCCTTCCTTTGTGGCTAGTTTGGGCTGCCTTTTTAGGCATGGGGATTCCTTTTTGCAAGCCTTCGCCCTGTTAGCAAAAGTAGAAGCGTTCCGCGGTTTATATAAATGGGAAAACCAGCTTTTTTGTCGTCACACCCTTTTGTAGGAGAGAGAAATTGTTCTCTTTGTATGATTGTAGTTATTCTTCAGCTCTTTATATTTTTTTCATTTACAGATTCAAGATGGAACTTTTTAAGGGGATTATTGCTGCCATAATTACTGTGACGTTGAGTTCACAAACTCTCTGCGCCCCACCACAGTCAAAACCAACCACAATTCAAATCCTCGTCACTTATGTGATTCCATCCAAAATTGCCAATGCCACATATGAGGTATGAATGGTGTGAGGTTTGTAGCTGATCAGAAGTAATATTCCCTAAAGAAAGGTTATTTAGGGCTAGACACAAAATAACCTTCCCTCTTCCAATACATGTTACTCGAAAACTACATCAAACTCTCGCGTACATTCCTTAACTATTAGGTGTAAACCAAAAGACTATGATCACATTTATTTCTAGAACAGGAAATCTAACACATTCATCAAAAACTTCCTGCGATCTTATTTGTACTGTTCACTGACAGTAATGCATAAAAACGTTGAAGAGATAATTGTTAATTATTTATTACCAACAAAAGATGACTGTCATTTATCTTTTTCTGGTTTCTTGCTGGCCAAGACATGAGTCAAAAACCTTTTGGCGAATTTACTTGAACTGTACACTGAGAATAATGCACTAAAGGTTTGAAAACAGAATTGTTGATTATTTATTACCAAAAAAAGAGGTCTACCGTTTTTCTTTTTTCTCGTTTCTTGCTGGCCTGAATTTCAGCCGTCTCCCCGAGGAAGACATCTAAATCTACAAGCCGCTCATATCGTCCAGTGACGTCACTAGCCATAAACTGGAAGCCGAGAGTAAAACAATTATGTACCATGTAGACCTTTCCGGGCGATATTTCTTTGTTTGCCAGATGAAAATCTTTTTGCATGAATTAATTAAGTAAGGAGTAGTGACGTCACTGGACGTCATTACCAGCTTGCTGATGCAGAAATCTCACTCGGGAGTTTGCAACTCGAGGAGACGGTTGAAATTCAGGCTAGTTTTTCATCGACTATTAGATGGACTATCCAATCCATCTATTTATATAAATATCTATTTATTTATTTATTTATTTATTACATTGATTTCTTTATTTATTGCAGATGAGAAACATGTATCACTTCATCAACTCAACGAGTTATCTTTTCGAGCCACCCTTCAGCCGCTTTCCGCCACAAATCAACACACAATCTTGCACATTAAACCAGGTATCCATTTGGAAACCTTCATCTCAAATCTGACATTAGTTTCATGATTTAGTCACAAGCTGTGAATAGATTCACTAGATTTTTTTATTGAAATTTACATTAAGCAAATGAACTAAATTTATCTTGCTTTAACAGGTTTGTTTCTCTGATCAAAATCCAATAAATTTTGACAGTTCTAGAGTGGCTGTAAGGAATGTATTTGAATATCATTTATTTTTCTCTTTAGCAATTAAAAGATAATCTTACAATCGCCTACGAGAAGATGGATATTTTCAGAAGTCCGCTGTACATGGCCTTATCCTATGAAGAAAATCAAGGGCCACTGCACAATTTGCTGGCTCAGATGCTCTGGGACATAAGCACTGGCATCAATGCGACATCTGTAATGCTTAGTCGTAAGGTAACATAATTTGAACTAAATTATAACCTTTTCGAAGTGAGCCAAACATGGAGTACATTTTTTGCAGGCCAAGAATGTGATATTAGTTTAAAGTGATGGGTTTTAAAATAAATCTGCCCCATGTATTTTTCCTAAGGTTTAGAGGTAGTCCAAACGAAACGACACAAGGAAACCCGACAAAGTGTTTCGCATGTGATTAAAACACTTTTACAGCCTAAAAGCTATTGATATTTTCTGTGTGTTTGCACCGTATATCGTGAAAACCGCTTAGGCCAACATTTATTCCGAAAGATTGCATGCAAAACGAAATAGATAAATACCTAATTTTAATTCCCCTCCAGGCCCCAGTTTTTGAATAGCTGGGTAGCGCTATCCATCGGATAAATCACTATCCAGTCGATACGTAGTAGAAAAACCAATTGCGCTATCCATTGGATGGATAGCGCTATCCTCCATTTGAACAACTGGAGACAGCGATTGAGTTCATTCAAAATAATTCTGATAAGTCTGAACATCTTTTGCAAACTTTTAAGATGCACAAGAACACCTTCCCGGTACCAACCACTACAACTGGAAATTTTATGGCACAGATGAACCACATCATTCGTGTGTACCTCCAAACACTGGTTCAAGGTAACTTGCTGGTAAGATAATCACTTCTCGTACCAAAGAACGGTGTTTTGAATGATGAAATATAGCACAAAAGTCAACAGAAGACCATTACTGAATCAACCCATGTAAAATTTAGTATACTGCTGTTATCTCCTTAATGAGGCACTTTTGTACAAAATTTTCCTTTAGTTTAGGCAGGGAATAAGAAAAATCAAATAACTTGAGCTACTGATAGCTGCACGATCATTCCCGAAAAATGTAATGGTGCTCTTAGTTATCTCATGGAGGTGCGATGTGGAAAAAGTGTAACGGTAATGTGCTTACACCTGTTTTCAAAAGTTATCTTGAAATAAAGTCCATTTTCTTCACAGCAAGGTCCTCTTACAGATGACATGGTGACGATTTACCGCAGCTACGTACTTCTCTACTCGCTAAGTGAAGTGATTAAAGAGGTCGCCACTTGTGTCTTCTATTAATAAAAGGAAAAAACGATTGCTTTACACCCTGGTAAATGCAAGCAAGACGTCGTATTCCACATTACTCAGGAAAAAACAAGACAAAGTTGTTTTAAGAGATTACAGAATGTTCTTTATTTACATATGATGTTATGGTTAATGTGAGCCTGGCCAACCAGGCTCACTGAGAAAAAATGTTAGTCGGGTTATTTTACTTTATTGTATTTTTTCTACTCTGGTTTTTCCAATGGAAACCGTTTCTTCTTTTTTCTAGTCTCCATAAAGAGTGTAAGTAGTTACCTTAATCCTAAAGTGCATCAAATACTGATATCGTCGTTTGTAACTGATCAAGATCAGTTTTTACTGTAATCTATAACAGATGTTTTAAGAACCATAATCATTATAGGCGTCCTGTTGTTACATTAACAATAAACCAAAAAAAAAAACCAACACTCTTGTATTCTGTTTTTATTTTGGTCCTGACAAGGCTGTGTAGTGGTAAAAAAATGGCTAGGCTTTTTTTTTTTCATCGCCTTGAAATTGGTTTTAATAACTCGCGCGTCCAAAGTGGTGAATGGGAAAAAAGTACATCTTCCGCGGCTTCAACCTCGTTCCCAGGTTCTCTCTGCTATCCGTTCTCTCGCGCTCCGCAGGGCGGGTAGGAGAGAACCCTGGGAGCGAGGTTGCCGCGGCTTCCTCCTTAATTTCGGGGGCAAGGTTTGGTTTGTTTTTGTTTTCTTTTTTTTGTTTTGTTTTTTTTTTTCAAGTTTGTAGCTAACAAATACGTCATCAATTGGCGGGTCTTCCCTACAAAAACCCATCCTAAGGGATTTGTCTCTTTTCAGACAAAATTTTTGTTTCCTTATGGCATAATTTGTCATCTCGAGCAACGACAAAGTAGAAATAACAACAATTCTTATAAGAAAAAAGAATCTTTCTTAAGTTCAAATAGCCAAAGGAGTGGTAACTAGTCAAACATTCCACAGAATGTAGATCCAGATTACTTCGACCATTATCGATATTGGGCCACATTGAAATATGTCAGTCACCTAACCTTAAATAACCAAGAAGCTAATAATTGTCTCTTCCTATCACCAACTGTTGCTTAAATAAACAAACTGTCTAAACTGTCTTCCCTCTAGTCCCCTGTCTGTCCCGCTGTCTTCCCTAAACTGTCTTCCCTCTAATCCTCTAGGACCCTATAAAATGATTAAGATATTCTCGGATTAGGCTCACAAAAAACAGTATTGCCATCCTCAAATCAACGGAAGTTCTTGAAGAACTTTAATTAAATTTTGTTATGCTATTCAACTAAGTAAGGTTCATGTTATGGGGAATATTCTCAGCCTGATATCCAATATCATATCCACTGACATTTGCTAATAATACACTTAAATCGAACTTGAGTTCCTGTGACAATTGACACAATTGGTGCAGATTTTGCGTTACCCGTGACGAGTATTACAACCTTCCGTTTAGGAACGGATCTGAAGTAAAACAAATATACCCCTGATATTTCGCCTCAGAAAAGAGATGGATTATGAAATTGCAGGAAAATAGAAACCAGTTCTAGGTAGAAAATAAAGGGAAATCTTAGGGAGAAATCTCAATATTGTGTTTTCATCATTTAGCGAGGGTTCCGGGATTGGAAAGTCTATGATGTTCTTAAAAACGCTTCCTATTAAAACTAAACGTTAACGATTTTTTTTCATGTCCAAAGGTAATGTGGAATACGTCTGACAATATAACATGATTACTGGAGGTAAATCAACCACGGAAAGATGTGTCGCAGGAATGATCCAAAACGATTACATTTACAGAAAAATGATGTGCGTCTGCATTGAGTTACGTCTTGCACAAGACGTAATACTATGTCTAGTATACAGCATCCCATGAATGCCATGAATGCCATGTATGATGGTAGGAAAGAATATTTCCCAGAATATAATATGATTTGAAACCGTACTTTTAGACTAAGAAAGAATTGTCGCAGCAATAAATCAAAAACTTTCCCTTAATGATGGAAGGCAACTTAATTCTTCCTCTACAGTTGGCATAAAAAGCGCACCACAAAGTTCCCACATTCAAACTAATTCTCACATCAAACAAGTTGAGTCTTCAGACCACTAAGTGAAAGGTAAGAAAAAGTTACCACAAGTTACCTTTGCGCTCAATTCAACGCAGAGCCGCGATACGTTTGTTGCCCTGTGTTTTCAAGTCAACGGTACACTCCACTAGTTTTTGAGCTACGATGTGTCTTTTTACGTCTTGATCTCTACTCCGTGTGACCACTGTAGGGCAATTTTGTTTCAACAAATGATGTGAATTGGACTAACAGCTAATTTAGTGTCGCTGACGGAGAGAAAATGTCGTTCTGGAAATGTGCGTCAAATAGAATTCACCATCAAATTTATATCAATTTTATCATTGTATTCATTTTCCCTTAACAGATTGTAAAATGGAAATTTCAAAGGTTCTTATCGCCACCATTATTGTAACTCTCAGCGCCCCGTTACATTCAACACCAAGCATATTACAATTCCTTGTCACCTATAACATCCCTCCAAAGACCACCAACGCCACACAAGAGGTAGGAATGAGTTAAATGTGCGTTTATATTTTTCCAGATGAAATCATTTATCTCTGCAATGAAAGGTCCTAACGTATTCACTTAAAGAAACTTCTTCATCTACAAAGACCACCCGAAACTGCCCGCGGTGAACTACGATCATTGTCCGCATTTGTGACGTCACTGGTGGGCACAACTTGCGCAGCCCAAACTAATTTTCTTTTTCAAAGTATACCCGGATGAGATTTCGTCAGTTATACGTTATATAACAAAATTCAAAAACCTTTAGTTTCAAATTAGAAACTCACTGCAGTTTCTAGACTGAAAACGGAGATTGCATGGTTTAATCATTTGGTTCTTTAAATCTTTGACTTTCTGTTTTTGTCTTTACTATAACCAGAAAACGGCTTTAGTGTATCTTTCAAAAGGCGTCAGTTTTCTCAAGAAAAGTCCAGGAACGAACGGGCTTAGACAAAACTCTCTTGGTTTAGGAAATATGTTGAAGAAAATCTTTGTCGTGTTTATACAAGACGGTTATCTGTTTCTGTTATTTTTGTCAACTTTCACTCCTAGCCACTGGCAGTGAAAAATATACTTTTGTTGTTGATGTTGTCGTTTTTTTTTAGGTACCCTTCAACAATTCTTTGAAACTGAGAATATTTCTCTCTTTAATTATTTTTTTCAGATGAAAAGTCTCTATCAGTTCATTGCCTCGACAAGTCATCTCCGGGAGCCCCCTTTCAGCCAGTTTCCACCACAAGTCAACACACAATCGTGCACATCAAATAAGGTATCTACTCAGCCTTTCAACCCCCTGCTGTTTAAGTTTTTAACGTACTGTTACTAAACCTCTAATATGTTAGTAATGCGGCAGTTTTTACTTCATTTCAGGATCAAGAAATCAAACCACAAATAAAACTTTTTTGTCGATCCCAAATTTCTCCTTGAAAATCATTTGCGCAAGTCAACACTCGAAGATGTTTTAAAATAATTCCAAGCTAATAAAAATTCGTCTAAAATAACCTTCAAGTCGTCGTATTGTCAGCTCCTTTCAGTTCTTCATATGTGTTAAAGCAGTCAGTCTCGCGTTTGATATATTTCATGAAGTCATGAATATTGTAGTATCAGGTTATCAATAGAGGATTCGTACAATCACGTCATCTACGTGCTATCAAATGAAAGGAATTGTGAAAAAGTAGTAAATCTCTTGTTTGCTCTTTGATGTTTATTTATTCATTTATTTATTTATTTATTTATTGACGCTTTTGCTTAAGTACGTGTTTTTGCCACAAAAATAGCGAATAAAAGTTGTACAGTTCTGGACCCTCTGTAAGTAATAACGCATTCTGTCTGTAGAATTCAAAAGACAATCTAACTATCGCGTACGAGAAGTTGGATATCTTCAGACGTCCGCTGTACATGGCCTTATCTTATGAAGAAAACCAAGGACCGCTGCACAGTCTGCTGGCTCAGGTGCTCAGGGAAATAAGCATTGACGTCAATGCTTCATCTGTCATGCTAAGTAATGAGGTAACGCATACAGCCAGAAATTTCACTGTATTAAAAGTAAAAAAAATAATAGAAAAAATCATGAATAGCTTTCCCAGCATCACTGTTTTGTGGATAGCGAAGGTTTTGACAAAAGTAAAAAATGAAACCCCAGAGAAAATTTTAGCACCCTTAATCATTTGTAGCCTTGAGCCTCCCTTGCTGTTCTTACGTCACTTCATACCTTTTCTATATATGACATATATGCCAAACATCCAAGTATATACGGTCAACAAACCTCCATGTGCGCCCACCACTCGTGAGCGACTACCTCCCATAAGCGACCATCTATACAAATACCAAAATTTTTCCAGTCAAAGTTAGAACCACCCGTAACCGACCCCATCTTGTGGGTTACCGTGACCCCCGGGCCCAGGGCCGTGACCACTTTTTGGGCTGACAGTTTTATAATTGTCCATTGTTTTTAACCTGTTGTACGCGACCGCTTGACTCATGGTTTGATCTCTAT